AGAGTAAGGATCCACAACAGGTGGAATGTTGGAGGCAGGACCTTCTGCAGGTTGTGTGGTGACGTCTGGATCCACAACAGGTGGAATAGTGGAGGCAGGACCTTCTGCAGGTTGTGTGGTGACGTCTGGATCCACAACAGGTGGAATGGTGGAGGCAGGACCTTCTGCAGGTTGTGTGGTGATGTCTGGATCCACAACAGGTGGAATGTTGGAGGCAGGACCTTCTGCAGGTTGTGTGGTGACGTCTGGATCCACAACAGGTGGAATGGTGGTGAAGTCCTGTTTTTCTGTTTTTTTAAAGTTATGTAGAATTTTGGGTTCTGATTCCAGGAATATTTTCAGTTGGTCTGTGCTGATTTTTGGCAAAAAAGCTGTTTTTGATTGGAGGTCTGCACTTTTGTTGTTTATTTTTACTATTGTATAAGGACCGGTCCAGTTTTGTTCCAACTTCCCACCCTTTCGCTGTTGGCACCTTACATTTTTTCGTAAGACTCTGTCTCCAACTTTGAATTGTCCTGATGTGTCTGTTGCTGTTGACTTGTATTTGTTTTTAACTCTTTTGATGTTATGGTGTACTAATTTGAAGATTTCGTCCTTTTTTTGGATGGACTCCAACACCGACTCCTCGTTTAGACTCTCTTCAATTTTGCTGTCAATCTGAGTTAAAAAAAAACAAAAGCATATATATGAAGGATTCAGAGACATTTACAAGGTGTCCACTGTGTAACATTAGATATGTTAGATATGAAAACATACCTGGGAGAGAAATATTTACAAAAAACTTTGATATGGTTTTAATCCCTAACTAAAATAATCAGAAAAACATTTCATGTGTTTTTAAACCAAATAAAATGAAAATGTTGGATGAACTTCGTACATGGAATGTGAATTATCTGAACTTTTACTTTATTTTTTACAAAACTGTATATTATAATTACTTTTTTGTTGACACTTTGGCTAAATAAACAGTGTATTGTATTATGAAAGAAAGACCACCACAGTTATTACTTTATTTCATTCAGAAATAATTTTGATTAAAGAGTTAAAACTAAATGTGACCTAAAATATTTTATTTAAATCTAGGACACTGAATGTAGTATATAATACTGAGCGATGAAGTCATGTCTCACCAGAATATTGTCTGGAACCTCGCATGGGAGCCGAGCCTCGGTTCCAAATAGGACAAAGAATGGTGAAAACGTTGTTGTTGATTGTTTTTTGGTTCTGAGACCAAACATCACAGCATCCAAATATTTGTCCCATGTGTTCGGCCTCTCTTTGACAAGTTTGCACAGTGATCTGAAAAGCAGAATGTTATGATTTGATAGCAAAAGTAACTGAATGAGAACCAATCCAGTAGCTACTAGCGCGAAAAGGGATTCCTCTCCTACAGGCAACTGAAGGAGAGACAAAGATCATGCCAACATGAACAATTTTTAACTTAAAAATAAATAATGGCATCAACAGTTTATGGAGAGGACTGTAAGGGTAGTTGATCTATTTTTTATGTAATAGCTGACATCTGCATATAACCACATTGCCAAAGAGGACACAGTCTGTACATAATGTTCATACAGAATATAAAAAAGCCAGCACTAAAGTAAAAAAGAAAAATAACTAAGAGCAATAAAGTGATATTATAACAATTTAATTACCTTTGAATGGTCCCATTTAGTTTTTCAACTAACCCATTTGTTTTGGGTGATACGGAGCACAAAGGCTCCGCTCAATGCCCAGAGTTCTGCATAGCTCTTTGTTCAGCTGATGGGAAAAAAATAAGAATCAATTTAAAAGCTTTACATTAACAATAAATCATTTTGATCAATAAATAAACATAACTACATTTTGCTTAAAAATATATTGCATCCCACACCAATACAGTTCACTCAAAAGTATTTAGCAACACACCTCATTAACAAATTCCTTCCCTTGATCAGTGAGGATTCGCTTTGGAGCCCCAAAGCGATAAAATAACTTAATGCACTGGGCAACATCAGCTGCTGACTTTGATGTCAAAGGATAAGCCTCCGCCATTTAGTAAAATAATCAATCATCACGGCAATGTATTGATTATTATCATCGGTTTTCACAGCCTTCCCAATAAGGTCCATACCAATGAGTTCAAATGGTTTACTCACCTAAAAAAGGACAATAAAATACAGAATAACACATCTGAGCAGGGATAATAAAAAAAAGTTCATGTGGTCTTTTTTAATGTATGTCAATTACTTCAATCGGGATTTGGCTTTTTTCCTGCTTTATTGTCAGCGCACCATGCTGGCACTCTGCACACTCTCTGACCTGAAGAACAAACCTTTTTTTTATTAAAATGAAAATTATAAAAAATCTGTAATAAGCTAACAAAATACTTACATAATCTCAGACACTACATAGATTAATATGCAAATAAACATAGCTGTTAAAAAATTTATTTGAAAAATGTCTTTTTTAAAAAGTCTTATTGTTTCTTGTTAAAACTACAAAGAACTACTTTCCGCTACAACCTATTGCATTATGTTGAACACCATTTTCTAACTTCTATATGTGTCGTATTAATGACAATGTACTCGTCCATGTGAAAAAGTAGTGTAAAAATTAAGTTAAATTTAAACATACTTAATCATACTTTTATTATGCATAATCATAAGTATATTTCAAGTATACTTAGAATTAGTATACTTAAAGTGTGAGATTTTAGAAATACTTATTTTGTGGTTAGTGTGTTTCAGTATGATTTATTTAGTATTTAAGCACTATTTAAAGCACATGTTAGGATCTGTGTTTTCTGTGTAGTTTTTCTGTTAGTCCAGTTTCCCCTGTGAATCTGTCTTCCCTGTTGATTGCTCCCAGCTGTATCCCGTTCCCTGATTACCTTCCCTGTGTATTTAACCCCACCTGTTGTCTTTGTGTCGGATCCTCGTCGTGTCTCACGTCTGTGTCTGTTCCTGTGCTGCCAGTGATTTTCTGTTGTCCCTCCTGGTTTATCATTAAATTATCTCTTATCATGACTACCTGGGATTCCCGGCGTCTCTCTCACCGCTCTCCTCAACCACACATCATGACAGCACACTTCAACTTAGTTTTTTCGGACACACTTCAGTAGAAGTAGAGTGTACTTTAAGTGTGCTGTTTTAAATGTACTTAAAACGCGATTGATTATTATATTTTCAGTTTAGTATTTTTGTTATTGAATTAGATTTAAGAAATAATTTGAATGTATTTTAAGTATATTGTAAATACATATTTAACATATTAGTGGTGTGATTACAGTATGCTACAAATACCAACACATTCTCTAAACAAGTACACTTTGTAGTTAGTTAATGTCTTTGATTATTCTGCTTTGCCACGTTCTACATTACATGCTTTACAAACATCAGTACTGAGAACATATCAGGTATCATAATGCAGAAAGATCCATTTACACACACTTTAAAGGTGAAACTAATTACATTTTGCTTTCAATATATTACCATATTGGTAACACTCTATTTGAAGGGATGTGCATAATACTGACATGACACTATCATAAACACAACCCCTTTTCATCCAACTTTTAAAGCAAATTCTCATTAAGTGTCATTATTTACTGAATGACAGTTCAAGATATGTTCTTAACAGATGTTATCTCATGTTTATGGCAGTATCATATCAGTCTTATGCACACCCCATCAACTAAAGTCTTACAAATACAAATACAAATACAAATACTTTTTTTTTCACCTGGGCTGTAAAGCAGTGTGCTATAGTAATAAACCTGTCATCATATTGTCATTGTGAGACTTGTTTTATAAAAAAAAAAAAAAAACCTACCCATTTTTCAATGTCTTTGGTCATGCCAGGCCAGTAGAACCTCTTGGTGATTGCGTGTCTTGTTTTAACAATGCCACAGTGGGCACCAAAAGGACTGGCATGGAACTCTTTAAATATTTGTTCCGCTTCCTCTGTTAAGGTCACTACCTTGCGTTTTGAATCACTGTGTCCTTTGCAGTAATACAAGACTCCATCTGTAGAAATATCACATGTTAAAACACACACAAGCATGTGCGCGCGCACACACACACACACCCACCACCACCACCACCACCACACGCACACACATAGTGCCAGTTCTCCTGGCTAACTAGCAGGTCAGCCAAAAGACGGTTTGCTGACAAATAAAGTGGAAATTTTAAAATAAAATCGGAAAGGTAACTAAGTCGATATATAAAGCTTGTCTCAATGCACAATAATTTGCCCTAATTTTTTCGATAAATAATACTATTACTTTGACTACAATTTCAAGTTATATATTGGTAATGGGCTACTTGAAAAATGTTAATGGAAATGGTCTCAAAGAAGGTAGTTGTCTCAAATTAGGTCAGGAAAAGATTAAAGACTTTTTCCCCGCTTGTGCATGCGAGGACTGAGGAAAACGTGGAGGACTATGGCAAACGATCCAAGTTTTACGGGTGTGGGTCGGTTGGACCTCATTTGTAAAAAAAATAGATTTAATTTTTGAAAATGTAATCACCGTCAACTGCGAAGTCAACTGCTGCTCCTTATTTTTTATCTTGTATTTTTGAGTTTTAGAAGAGCCTTCAGGGTATCTTCCAAAGGATAGATATTGTATAACATTGCCAAATATTAACGGGTCCATTTCTTGCAATTTTTCTCAATGTCGCGCAGTTTTCGAAGAAATTGGTCACAAAGACAGTATGCAGCTGTGCCAGTGTCAATCGATGTGAATGCACGTGGTTAATTAACCAATTTACACGTCAGAAAGATTTTGAC